CGGCCAACAGTCAACGGCCTCTGTTGCCACCGCACTAGCGGTCAACACAGCCTATGGTCCATTGCTTGCTGCTCATGTGAATTCGTTTCAATCAGTTTTTCAAGATTGCACATGAGACTGCCGCTCAAGAGTATTTCGCAGATCTCGTCTCATGAGGTTTGCCTTTGCCAGGGCTAGGATTCAAATGCGTAGAATTCCCTAAGGCTAACATGCTTTCAGAGCCACATTTTTGTGTCTGATTTGTTACTTGAATTGTACATGATTGACCCTTACGGCAATGCATATCATACTTTGTGCTGCGTGTGAATGTCACAACTTGATATCTTTGCTCGTGCATTCCGCAGTGGCTTAACCCACAGTCTCACAGAGAATAGCTGCGCAGCCATAAAAAGAGACATCAGCCTCGTCATTCTGCCTGCTTGGGAGTAAATCAGCATCAGCTGGGCCCTTTTTACGCTTCAGGCGGTGGGGCGGGTAGGGTGGGGCGGGGTGGGGTGGGTTGTGTGTGCGCGCGGCTCGCGCACGTGTACGTGCGCGTGTGCGTGTACGTGTGCGTGCGTGTGCCCGTGAGCGTTTTTTTGAGTGTGCGTGCGCGTGCACGTGTGCATGCGCGCGCGTGTGCGTCAGCGAGTGCGTGTGTGCGCGTGTCCGTGTGTGTGTGTGCGTGGGTGGGTGTGTGTGTGTGTGTCCGCGTGTGCGTGTGGGCGTATTCGTGTGCGTGCGTGCGTGCGTGCGTGCGCGTGCGCGTGCGCGTGTGCATTTGCGCGTGGGTGCGCGTGTGCGCTTGTGCGCGTGTGTCTATGTGTGCGTTTGTGTGCGTATGTGTGTGTATGTAAGAGTGCGTGTGTGTCTGTGTGTGTTTGTGTTTGTGTTTGTGTTTGTGTTTGTGTGTGTGCGTCTGCGTCTGCGTCTGTGTCTGTGTCTGTGTCTGTGTCTGTGTCTGTGTCTGTGTCTGTGTCTGTGTCTGTGTCTGTGTGTGTGTGTTTGTGTCTGTGTGTGTCTGTCTGTGTGTCTCTGTGTGTTTCCGTGTCTGTGCGTTTGTGTTTTGTGCATTTGTCTTTGTGTTGTTTTGTCTTTGCGCCTCTGTGTCTGTGTTTCATATCTGTTTGTCGGACTGCCTTGTCTCTGCGTCTTTGGCTACTTATCTTTGTGTCTCTGTGCGTGTGTGTTTCTGTGTTGGTGTGTGTGTGTCTTGTGTGTCTGTGTGTGTTTGTTGGCCTTTGTATGTTTGTTTGTGTGTGTTTGCTTGTTTGTGTTTGTGCGTGTGTGGGTGTGTTACGTGTGTAATTGTGCGCGCGTGTGTGTGTGTGTGTGTGCATGCGCGTCTGTGCGTGTGTTTGTGTTTCTTCTTTTTGTTGTGCGCGTGTGTGTTTGTATCTGTGTGTGTGTGTATGTGTCTCTTGTGCGTGTCTGTGTGTGTGTGTGTGCGTGCGTGCGTGCGTGCATGTGTGCGTGTGCGCGTGTGCTGTGCGTGCTCTGCGTGCTGCGCTGCGCGTGTATGCGTGTGTGCGCGTGCGTGTTGCGCGTTTGTGTGCGGTGTGTGTGTGTGTGGGTGCGTGCGTGCGTGCGCGCGCGTGTGTGTCCGGTCTGCGCGTGTGTGCGTGCGTGCGTGCGTGCGTGCGTGCGTGCGTGCGTGCGTGCGTGCGTGTGCGCGTGCGCGTGGGTGTGTGGTGTGTGCTTGTGTGGTGTGGTGTATGTGTGTGTTTACCTTTGTGTGTCTGCGTGTGTCTGTTTGCGTGTTTGTGTTTGTGTGTGTTGTTGTGTTGAGCTCGTTTGCTTTGGGAAGCAAACAAGCAGAACCGCACATCTTGCGGCGCCCCCACAGTACAAGAACCATTTGGTTTTGGTGGCTCTTTTCCAGCGCTCTGCGCGAGGTGCTTGTTGTCGCGGCACTTGCGCTCTGTGCAAGTTGCTCTGCGCAAGTCTCCGCGTCGAGCTCTGCGAGCGCTTTGCGCATGTTCCTCTCTGCATGTTGCTCCGCACAAATTCTGTGCGCAAGAAATTCCTTGCAAGTTGCTCTTCGTCAGTCCTCTGTGCAAGCGCCTTGCGGTTGCTTCGCGGAAGTGTTTTTCTCAAAGTTGCTCTGCGCCTGTCTGCGTAAATCTCTACGCAGTCATGCTCCGCGCAATGGCCCTACGCAAGTTGCTTTGAGCCGATAGCTCAGCGCACATTGCTCTGCGCAAGTGTCTCTACGCAAGTCTGCGCGTCGCTCTCCGCGAGAGCTCCGCGTAATCTTTTTGCGCAAGTTGCGATTCTCCGTGGGAATGCGCTTCGCGTGCTACTTTTGTACTTCAAGGTTGTGATTTTCCAGCTAGGGCTAAATTGCGTGCTACTTTTGTGCTTAAAAGTTGCGGCCTTTCCCGCGGACCCAGCGGGGATTGAGCCTGCAGCCGCGCGATTACAGGCGCAGTCGCGCAAACCACAATTCCAAGAAGCAGCTCGCAAGCAGAAAAAAAAAGCCACGGGACGAAAGCGAGAGCAAGTCGACGTGCACGATCCCTGCAGAGGGTTGATCCGGGGCTCGCGGAATGGTAAAAAACCTCTGCTTTTTGACGTTGATTACAAGTTGGGCTCTGGAACGCGGAAGACGTCTTAATTAGAGGGCTTAAAAAACTTACAGAAAAGTTATCGTGAGCAAACTTGTAGCTTTTTTAGAGTTGCTTTTGGGCATATATGTCGACCATTTTAGGGGAGGGTCCGCCATCAACAACAGAGTGTTGATTCGCGGGCCACACACAAAAACACGGAGTTGACTTGCGGACGCGGACCACCGCAGTGTCACGCGAAACGCGAAACATTCACACATACCTGGGTCTTCCAACATATACAAAATTATTGCTGTTTTGTCAAAAACTATGTCTTTTGACCCAACGGCGATTATTTTCGCCTGCCGGCAGTTTTCAGTGTTTGCACACTCTAGCATCAATCAAAATTGCAAAACGGCGTAATTTGCCGTCAAAACGGCGTAATTTGCCGGCGAACCGGCGTTTCTATTTTTGCCTGGTTCCGAGCTGGACTCACGGCGAGCGCTTTTTCTCCGGAAGAGCGTTTTTTTCAGCAACCGGCGAAAATTATTTGCTGTTTTGGGAAACGGCGTTAATTTTACATGTTGGAAGGTCCAGGTATGTGCGCTCAAATCAAGCACCGCAGACATTGATTTTTTCTCTCGCGCAAGACATTGCGCAAGAACTCATGCGCCTCGGCGCCACGGAAGTTCCGAAAACTCCCCGGACATTCCCCAGACATATCCCCGGACTGTTCGGGGATGTTCGGGATGTCCGGGGGATGTCCGGCTTTAAGCAATGATGACGTCCTCTAGGGCCTTCCGCTGCGTGCAGGCATGGCTTCTGGAAAAGCCCGCTGCGTGGGAATGTTCGGGGAATTTCTGGCAGCCCTGCAGAAACAAACAGTAGAAGGAGGGGTCCACATGTTGGTTTCTGCTTTATGCTTCCTACCCCTCCCCACGTACGCGGACAGCCGTGCTTGACGCGGACCCGGCCGCAAACTGCCGCTGAGACAACCGCGGAGCCGCCGCTTGATTGGCGCGCGCGCCTAAGGTCAAAAGCGCGGCCACCACCGCCTGGGTGCTCTCGCTGGGGTGACGAGAGCCTAGGCCTGCGAATGTCGGGCATATCCTGGTCTGGGACCATCGTCCACACCTCCTCCTGCAAATGCGTAACCCTGCAGCCGCACCCGCCGCACTTGATCTCGGGGTATAAGTCGCGGTCGTGGAGGGCAAGCTTGAGGGTCTCCGCGTTCAGGGCGGCGGCAAGTTGGCTGACGCGCGTGCGCACGCGAGTGCTGCTGCGTATAGTTCTGGCTCTGTCGCACCTTGTTTGGTTTGCAAGGTGAGTCAAAGCACCTTGAGCCAAGGAAAGGGAGATGCGACGATTTCGGCAGCACTTGCCCACACGCGCTGTTTGTTTGGCTCCTCAAATACTCTCTCCGTAAGTTTCCGTAAGTTCAATAAGTTTCCCATAAGTTTTCCGTAAGGTAAGTTTTCCGTAAGGTAAGTTTTCCGTAAGTTTTCTGCACATTTAAAAACTTATGGGAAAGTTATAACACTGCTAAGTGACTTACAAGTCCGCCAACTCTTAAAAACTTCTTGGGAGCTTACCGAACTTGGCCGCTTTCATAGACGGGTTAACCCTACTTATAACTCGAGTTACAAAGCTTGCAAGTTGCCTAAGTGAGTTATAACTCTCCTACGTTCCGGAGCCAACTTGTACGCCGATCCCCAACAGAGGGTTGCGCGCGCACGCAGACGTCGGAAAAGTCCTGCTTTTTGACGTCGGCCATCGATCCCGCAGAGGGTCGCGCGGGCATGTTAAGAGGTTGAAAGATTTCTGGGATTCTTGACATCGGCACGTTCCTCGCAGAGGGTCGCAATCCCGCGAGATGACAACACCCCCCCCCGCCTTAACAGAAAATGCTATTGCCGAGCTCTCACGCGCGTTATAAGAACTGTACCGAAACTTACATAGCTGCCCGCGCTGAGCCAGAGAAGAGAACCCAACCTTTCACACCGAAGCTCCTTACCCAGGCTTTTTACACAAGTAGCTCTGCGCAGATGGCTCCGTGCAAGTTGCTCCGCGTAAGTATCTCTGTGCAGATGGCTCTGCGCAAGTTCGCCCTGAACGAATGGCTCTGTGCAACTGACTCTGCGCAAAATGGCTCTGGGCAAGTTGCTCTGCGCAAGCTGCGCAGAGCAAATTAACTCCGCGCAGACAGCACTTTGCAAGCGACTCTGCGCAAGTGGCTCTATACAAACAGCTCTGTGCAAGTGACTCTGTGCAAGCGGCTCTGCGCAAATGGCTATGTGCAAGTTGCTCTGTGCAAGTTTTGCAAAGGCTCCGGACGGAAGAACCCTTCACAATGCTGTCGGGAAAACCAAGAAAACAGAGCGATTCAGTCTCAGATGAGCCATTGTTTTTCAACCACTTGCCTCATGCTGCCAGATCCCCAAAAGAGCTTCCAGCGCATCCTTCCCGAGACAAGGCCTCCGAAGCCTGCAGCTGCCAGCAGTTAAACTTGTGCGACACCTCTGGCCCGAAGACGAAGAAGCAGCCCCCTGGACAGGACAGCTCGGAAAGAAGGGAAAGCGTGAACAGCGTGGACAAGGGTTTTACGGTGTTCAAAGGGGTACTCAAAGGTTTTCAGGGATGAGGTCCGCTGTGAGCAGGGTTCCCCCAAGCATTTCCTGTGTCTGCAAACAATTTCGGAACCAGGGCCGGATTGACCCGCTGTCGCTGGGAAAAGCCTGGCGCCGCGATTAAAACTGGGGATGCCTGTTCGAATTCGAAGGGTGATTTTAGGGCGCGCCGCCACTGCCAGCAAAAGGCATATGCGTTTTGCAAAGCCTTGCAATCCCCGTCGCCCGCGTGTAAATCCCCCACAGTATGCAGCACAGTTAGCGCCAAATCCAGCAGGCGATCATTTTGGCCACGCGCACGCCACGCTTCAGGTCTAGATGGCCCCTCACCACAACGAGCCAGAAACTGGAAGTGATCCTGGGCTTCGACAAGCTGCGCCCCAGCCATGACCCTTCTGCACGTAAAGACACCTGCAACTGAGCGGGCATCTTGCTCAAGTTTTGAAGAAGTTTTCCTCTGCTTAGGCGAGCAGTGGAGCTTTTTGGAAAGTTGCTCTTTGATGAGTCATCATTCTTGAAGCTCGTTCTTTGTTGAAAGGCCTGATGGGATCCTTTGCGCTAGATTTGGGCATGACGTGAGACAGCTCGACAACATGACACAGGGTTCTACGGAAACGTGTTGCTGTCAGTTGCAGATGGATTCTGTCTGAAACATTCAACCGTTGTCCATTTTGATAACGAGGACTAAACTGGACAGACTTGCGTCGGAGGTCCACGGCCCTTGCAGCCTTTGAGCTCCTCGCAGGCTGTTATACTTGCGTAGTTCTTGTTGCGGCGCATCAAGCCGACGAAAGCGGCCCGAACACAAACGCAGGGCGTGCATCTGCGGGGGAGCCTGAGCTTGGTGCGTGAGCTCCCTACCTTGTGGTATAGCACAAGTAGTGGGGCTGGCTGGTTGATTCGGCTGCCTGCGCCTGCAAAAGCAAGATGGCTCACACATGTCCGCCACTGCTTTTTTGAAAGTAACACACTATATGCGCCTAACCATTTTGCCAAGCTAACAGTCTACACCAACTAAAGAAATGTGCGGGGCAACTTGTACCTTCAGCGCCCCCTCGCAGAGAAACGGCTGTCTTGTTGACGGCTCCTTCGCAATCCGTGGTGTGGCAAATTTTGCTTCAAGCAATATAAGGAGCATCCATCGCACAGGACAAGGTCCTGATACGCTTGCTGGTTGCGCTCACAGTAAAGCGCTTCCTCACCAAGCTCGGCCTTTTCTACAAGCGCTTGTTTTAGGGGTTCTCAGTGTTCTCGTTGTATTTCTTGTTGTCTCTGTATTCTTGTCGCGGTCCGGGCTTTGCAGAAAGTGTTTTTTTGGGGCAGTCTCAAACTTTTGAGGAAACATGCGAGACACACCCCCGATTCAATTTTAATAGAAACCGGAAAGTCAGCTAGAATTCGTTCCTGGGTAACTTCTATATCATTTAGCAAGCATGAACAACACCCTGAAAACTGATCTGATGTTAAATAAGATTCCGAACTAAAACACAACTAAGGTCAGGATTTAAACGTAGACGCTATGTAATGTCAAGTTAAAACTAGACATCGTGCTCGAAATCTCACCTTTTAAATTCTTTTCAACCAAAAACTGAACAGGTCATCCTGGGAAAGGAAACCACCAAAAACCCTAGCGAGATAAATCGAAAGACACCCATTTGAAACCCCCCTTAGGACAGAACACCATATTCAAACTGATACTAGAACCCGCATTCAAAACATGAAAAACCACCCTGAATTACAAAGGCTCAGTGTTGTTGGAGTATTCATATGATTCACGCCAACATAAATGCAGCATTGTTCAAGCAAAGCTGCCAAATAATTCAAATCAGCATACATAGGAGGTGGCGTTGAAGCAGGCTCGCAGATGATGCAGAACCAAGTTGCTCGTGTCATTGAACAAATGCGTTGTAGATATTCCACGGCCGGCCTGCGCCCGGACGGGTTCCGTAGCAAAAGGCCTGCGGCTTGCACCAGGCGCTGCAATCCTCCTCTTGGGTCCTGGAGATCGTTACGTGGGGGTGGGGCAACGTGGTCCTTTTGAACCAAACATACGAACTCACGGCTGTGACAATCCCACATTCTGAAATACCAGGGTAGGCGACCCCCATGACGACTTTCTGACTTTAGGGGCTTCGGTGATCAAGCGAGTCATGTGGCAAGAGAAGAGAGAAGTCTCTTGGCTTGGTGGCCTGCTAAACCCACCAAACACAAAGTGATTTAGATTGTGGGGGGGGAAGTGAGATAAATGGGGGGCGGGGCGCTTACTCGACACTTAGTGAAAGTCATGCATGTTTTACGCCTACATTGCACATGACAAATCATTGATTGTTCTTTTGTGGGATTCAAAGTTGATTGTCCTCATTTGGCAGTACTTGCCTTGTTTGGCTTGGCCTATTTTTCCCGAGTTAGTTGGCGATTTCCGGACGACCAAGACACGGGCCCATATGACCAGAAAAGAAACCACCTGTGTTCTATGAGCTGCACATGTCCTGAAGACCGTCACAAACTCCCGGGACACTGTCATTGAGCTCGCAGGCGGCGCTTCCTCGAGAAAGTCACCCAACAATTCTTGTTCCTTTCAGGGAGCAAAAAAATCCCTGGATTTTGATAAGCTTCGCCACTCCTGATAAAATCAAAGAATGTTCCGGACTTCATTTCACGCAGTCTGCACCTGGGGAATGCTGACAGAACCTCGCATCACGCTTTGGCCGCTTGATTTCTCTAAGAAGTTCTTCTCGAGGTGCGTGTGTGTGTGTGTGTGTGTGTGTGTGTGTGTGTGCGTGTGCGCGTTTGTGCTGCGGTGTGGCAAGGTGTGATGTGAGTCGCAGTGTTTTGCGGCCTGGTGTTGCATGATGATCTTTGCGGGTGTGATTTTGTAACCCCTTTCCTGCTGGCAACAAATGGCCCCTGTGGAATATTAAAAAACAAAAAACAATGCTGGACACATGCGTCTAAGCCAATACGGAACTTGCTCTTTTTCTCGCGATTCCCCGTTCCAGTTGTACGGGTACGGGTCCAATATCAGAAACGCCAATATCAAACCATCTCGGACCCGCGCGCATGAGCTTTATTAAAACCCTCTCACATTAACAATATTCAACCTTCAGCAAGCCCTGCCGCCAAGCTTCCGCGGCGTGAGCCCTTACCTCTGCGGGCGCTTCCACGGGCATGCTTCTGTTACTTTTGTTTCCGCTGCCGGTGGCCTAGCTCTTGCGAAGGCCCAACTTTTGCTCCATTGCTTCCGGTAAAGGCAGCAAGTGTGTTTGGGCAGGCTGGTTTGGGCATGGGTTGTGGAGCTGTTGGGGGGGTGGTTGTCTCAAGGTTGTTTGCTTTTTGCGCCCCTCATTTGTCTTGGTTTCTGACCCGGCGTGGTTTGTTGCTTTTCTCAGTGATCAGGCTGTTTCAAGCGTCCGAAGAAAGTGAAACAAGCATAGGGCTGTGTTTTTCCGACACTATAGTATTCCCCCGCCACATGTGCGGGCGCGTTTTCCGCAATTCCTTATTCCTTCTCTTGTCTTCCACAAAAGTTTCTTCTAAACTTGCTTTGATTACTTGATGTGTCGCGACCTTGACCTTGGCGCGCAGTACCATGCTGAGGGCATCGCTACGTTGCCAGGCATCGCCATCATTCTTGAGCATTTTGACTCTACACATGGCACTTGCGCAGCTTGCTTCACCTGTGGTGCGCAGACTATCTCATTAACATGAGTGCTGGGCACGTGTGCCACGCAACTTTGCAACAGTCGTGTCGGCGAGTCTTTTTCTGCTGAGACGCCCCCAAGAAGGCTCGTGCGGGAATGGTTTACCGCGCAAGTTGCACTCGTCTTTGGCCGCCTGAACTAGGCCAAGACCTGAGCGCGCCTCACTTTCGCAAGGTCAGGCATCTCGTGGCCGGCGCAGAACCAAGGCTAGGGACAGACTTCGCCCTAGGGCCGCGCAAGATCACAAGAATAGAAAGACAATGTTGACAGAATATGCAAACAGTTTAAGCCAATACATGTATGGCAAAAAAGGTGGACAGCAAGGCAAGGAGTTGTATGGTAGATGAATAGAAAGTACCTAGATAGATAGATCTTGAGAGTAGGGGCAAAACTGATAAAATATTAGACAGATAGATGTTTGGATAGATGGACACAGCTAGGGCTAGAACTGTAAAAGGGTCATTCCAGAAGACAAACAGATGGGTAGATAGGTACAAATCCAGGTGAAAATATTCTGGAAAGCGCAGTTAGACAGATCAGTGGGTAGAAACAGCCTTATATCGACAGATGGCATTAATAGGTAGACACTCAGTGGAGAAAAGCCCGCAGCTGCCGGCTTTGCTGGAAACCTCACATTTTTCCCGGTAAGCTGCAAGTAAAGAGTTTTATCTTCATAAAATCAGCGCCCTCAAGCCAAGGTGCGCTAGCACATCCTGGATTAAAGATTGAAGGTCCACAGAACAGTCTGTGGCAACCCCAGAAGCGCTAGCACATGCTGTCTTATTGATGATTGAATATTTTCCTGAAAGGTAGACACTTCAAATCCATACTGAGGGCAACCCAGCGCAGCGTGGATCAAAAGGCTGACCCTTGGAAATTTGCAGGAACATTTTCCGTGAACCGGCATGGACTGAAAATTCCCAGAAAAGTTTCCTGGAACCTTCAATCCATCCTGAGGGCGATCCTGGCAAATCCTGAGTGTTTGGGCACAAAAATGCAGAAACGAAGAGCGGTTCCCAAGCGTCAAGTTTTCAATTTGGTGCGGGGCACAAAGAATGCGTTTACCTGCGCGTTATCAGTGCAAATGTGTTTTACAATCAAGGCCCGGGCGCGCCGAATAACAAACAGAAACACAAATAAATGCCACAACTCCCGTCTTGAAAGAGCCCGTGGCTGTGGATGCTTGGGGGCATTTCTGGCCGTGAAGCTACAGAGGAACTTTCCATGACGCCAAATGCCTTTGAAAAGACCACGTCACAGAAAGATGTCTCACTTAGCATTTTAGTTGGTCAATGCCTTTTTGATGGGGTTCCTATCTTTTGCCCTGCCAGGGACAACTGGAAGTCAACAACTCAGCCCTTCTCGTGGGCTCCTGCTTGGAAAATTAAGGGGACCGAACTGAAAAGAATGCAAACCACATAAGAAGTGGGCTCAACTCCAAGCCCGCCCTGCGCGACCGCGACCGCTGCAGAGTCCTGGGGCAGGCCGTACCACCACCGCATCACGGAGAGTTCCGCGTGCAGGTCAGCCTGCCTTGGGAACAACAACGGCGCAAACACAAGGTGGGGAATGGGGCGGGGAATGAGGAGGGAAATGGGAGGGTTGGAGCTGAGTGTCGTCTCTACATCAGGCTAGAGACAAGCCTCGGGGGATTGCGAATGATTTGGTAGTGAAACAGCCCGGACAGAAATCGTTGCGGCAAGAATTGGAAAATACGTTGCGTACTATGCGCGGCTACATTGCTTATGCTGGGCGCACACAGAACACGCCGCCGTTTTGACTGCAGACGACTCTCCCCGTGCGACGGCTGCGCGCCGTGCACAGCGATAAAGGAGACCGAGAAGGGGATCAATTCCAGGACATCCTGGAGACATGGACACTTTCTTTGCGCGTCACGTGTGAATATGGTTAGCACCCGATTGGCCTCTATTTCCTCTTCTACGCGCTCTCTGCCTGGAGCCGGGCTCAATCTTGTTGAAGCGACAACCAACAGCCGGCTTTGCCAATCCGAGTTTTCAGGCCCTGGCGGAGCATGCAAATGCCTTCCTCGATGTGTTTCTTGATCCCAGGCTTGTTCGTATTCACAAACTTGCCGCAGTGGTCCGCCACCGCAATGGCATGGTCTTGCGCCAACTGAACGTGTGGCAACGCAGGCCAAGACCTTGTAAAGCAAAAAGATATGCTTCAGGGCTTGCAGAAGCGTCCCTAGTAAAGCTGACATACGAGTTAGCGTTTCTGCTTTTTGTTGAACTCCCTTGCGCAAATCCGCGCCGTCTCATTTGGAGCTGAATGCGTTGGATGCCACACAACTTGCTGAACCTGTTGGCTGACTGATTCGCATCTTCCGCAGAACCCATCGCACAAGTGGGAAAACTTTCTTGTGGAACGCGTGGCGAGTGCCAATCGTAGCGTAGGGTAGGCCTGTGCGATGAGCAAGAGTCAGCGTCGATTGAGATTGACATGATTTCACCACCAGAAAGCTTTGGAACGCAGAGGTTCTCATAGACCGCTTTTCTTCCTGTGAGCCATTGCGAGACAAAGCGGTTCATGCCGTCAAACAACGGTGCGCGACAGTGCCAAACCTTGCAAACCCTGGACGGCGCCTTGCACTACGTCAACAGCAGCCAGAAACAGGCTCCCCCGCAATGCCAGTATAACTGCAAACAGGCGACGGCTTCCGGGTTGAGAACACGATCTGCTTCTTGAAGGCAGAGAATAAGAGGTGGGCTGTTCCGGAAAAAACGCTTTTTGGAATCTCGGGCGCACGGCGCCTTCTTCTGGTAGGCCAGGTAGAGCCGTTCCCTCTCAAAGTTGCCCGTGTTCAGGGTCAGAACGTTGACGTGCTTTGCGTTCGTCTAGGCTTTGCTGACACCACCTGCTTGCTGAGGACGCTTTCAGTATTGGAGTAGTTGTTCTGAATATCCAGCTTGGTGTGTTTGAATGGCGCAGCGCGCGCGTCTGCAACGACTTCCCTGAGTCCTTTGCGCGCGTGTCCTTGACAGCTGGCTGAATAGACAAACATCTTATCAAGCGGACCTGCGTGATGATGATATTGCCAGAGCCTGGAGTAAAGTTCAAAGAGCTATCCTCAAGCTCCAGGCGTGGAACAAGGCCAAAAAATCCGAGTGAGCGACGGGAGTTCACGGGTTCCATTGCTGGTACTGTGCATCTTTCTGACCACAAGGCGCCGCTCCGGCAAAAACCTTGCAGTCTTTTCTTGGCAGACTGATGCTTGGTGGTTTGCCTGAGTCTCAGCAATCTGAATCTTCTGGGGTGAGCTCCACAAGCCTCGCCACTTTAATGCCACATCGACTCTGATGTTGCCTGTCGAATGAAGCTGACATAGCATGAGCCCTTCGGCGCCGGTATATTGGCCTGCTGAGCGAGCCCTCTTCTTCTCGTGGATCTCGGCCCCGATGAAGGTTGCAGGGACCACGTCGAACAAGTCGCAGGGCAGCGACCGCCCTGGAAATGCGCTCCTAAAGCCAAAACAGGTTAAGCTGAGGGCTAGAGCGGTTCCCGCTTAGTCTTGCGCTCGACAGCGAGGGGCTGGACCGGACCCCCTGCAATGTGGAAGTTGGTGGCAATTTGTCAATGGATCTAAGAATGTCCCCAGTGTAAGGATAGGGGCGCTTTGTATCAGATCTTGCTGGCTGGACTAGGCATCTGCTGCTCGTTGTTCTGCCGACGGTGGAACCCTTGAAAGCGTGTCTTGGTCTTGAGGAAGTGACCGTCCTTGCTTCTCTTCAGGGTGAGAAACTGAGTGGGTTCTTCTGCCGCTGACAAGGTCAACGACTTTGTTGTCTCACCGGAATGTACACACTGTTCTTGCAACGCCAACTCACTTGCCAGGTTGCACAAGAAACCTGTCAGTGACATACGGCGGCGTCACAGCATCCAACGCAGACCAGCGCAGCTTGTCCGGCTGGAATAGCTACACCACTTCATTCCAGCGCAACACAAGCCTTGCCTGAAGCTCGGCAGTCTGAAGATGTACGCCGAAATTTAGCATCACAATTGGCGACATAATGTTCTATTGGAGTGAGGACAAGCCCACGATTAAGCCAGATGGATCCAAAAGAGGAATGCGGTTTAAAGGTGAGAAAACCTCCACAGGTGAGACAGTGGTTCGCATAGATCTTGGAACACAACTTCTGTAAGTACGTAAACGTAACCAAAGTAAGAAAGGGTGAGTTCAGACCGCCTTGCCCTCCCCCAGTGATGATCACCATAGAGATCTGCCTGCTGAAGATAAGACAGATGAAGCAGCACCTAGACAGGGGGTTAAGAGTAAGACATCCACAGCAGCTGTATCCTCGACAACAGAGTTTGCGACTCGCAGTGCGTGTTGAATTTCAAAAAAGCCAGCATCTCGAGCATCCCTCAGGTGCGTCATTGAACCATCGTTGAAGTATGAATCCAAGGCATTGGTGGACTACGATTGCGTGGTCACACATGTATTCCGCTGGTCCAAAACCCATGAGATGTGACATCTCAAGCTTGCATCCATAGATGCAAGCAAAGGCTACTTCTAGGCAGTAGTGACAGCGACTGGCATCACCCGTTGTTGCTCAACATCAGCTGCAGGTTGGAACCTCCCACCAAAAGTTCAGATTCGCCTCAACGCGATGCAGATCGTGGCTGCTGGGGCAGCATACATTTTCCGAACGATGAGTTGCCAACATATTGGTGATTTCTTGTTTTCAGCAAGATGGCAAAAGAAGATTCAATTTTCAGGAGGAGATTCATGTCCAATGGACTGTCCATTTCTGATGCTTGCCTTTGGCTCCGGACACATCTCCGGAATTTCTCACCATGCTTGTATTGGACAGTCACTGTCTTTGCGTATTTCAATTCGCTGCGCAACACTTTTCGCGCCGACTGTTTCACCAAGCCACGCACGTGCAATAACTGCAGCTACGTTTGCTTTGCAACCGCGCGCCCAAAGCTTTCATTTGCTACGGGACGGTCCCAGTGTGTATTCACTGCACTGTGCCGCATTTCAGGGCTTTTGACCCGAGTGATTAAACTCCTTGGCAATACTCCCGGAGAAATTCATCAGACTGTCACTCATGTGCAACTCTGATGCCATTGGCTCAAGCCAGGTGATACAGTTAATACACTGTGCTTGGTCCAGCAAAAAGAACCATCACCCCTTGCTGTGTTTGTGGAAACCAAGCACTGCCTTATATATATTCACATATTTGGTCCTCTGCGACCTTCTCTACATAAGGAATAGATCTACAGGGCCTCTTGAGGTTCACTGGATTGCCCCCATTTGGGACCTGCTATTTCCACTCAGGGGGGAGGGGGGGAGGGGGGACCCTTGTTTTGGCAGCTTCCTCTTCTGGGGGCCTCCCCTTTTGATTAATCAGTGCCAGCGTTACATTGTGATCCAGCGAGGGCTTGAAGGGGAAGTTCGCCCGTCCCACACGCTGTCAGAAAATGCAATATGGGAATGCCCACCATTCTTTTCGTTCGGGAGCTGGTGGGATCAATCAAACATTTCCTTAGAACCGGAAACAAAGCCCGCTTGCCCCGTAACCGAAGAGTTATTCACCCTTTTTCAGGTATGGGTATGCTTTTGAACTGGAGTCTTTTTGGACATCAGCAACACAAGATTAGATTTATGCAGCCCAATGTGCTCCAACTGTTCAACTTCAAAACCAACCCAAACAAACACCCAAACCTGCCCCCAGTTGTGTGTTTTTTGCTGTGCGAGCGGCGCCAATTCTGGAAAAGCCACGGTCTCCTCGAGCCGGCTTTGGGGGATGCAGCGCGTGTAGCTGTTGCCGCGCAGCACCAGGCTCCCTCCGGGTGTTTCCGGTCGACAGTGGCTTGGAGTTGCAACAAAATCCCAAGGTCGAAAAGGAGTGTCGACTTGGTCCCCAACCAAAAAACCACGAGTATCCGCCGAAGCCTCCGTCCTGCTACCTGCCCTCTCAGGATTGGGGGCAATGCCCCAACAAGCGCTTGAGAGAGCAACTTCCATTACAATCAGCACGCCCCTACTCCCCCAAAACAATGCCCCTCTAAAACCCTAAGCAGGCAAGGTCCTTCCAAGAAGGGGCGGGCGAGTTTTTGCGGCGACCTTGGCTTTCCTCCCTAAGCGAGACGCTCAGGACCGGCTCCGTCTCCAGCACCGTGATGCGATACTCCAGCACCTCACTCAGCGTGCCCACGGAAAACTCGATAATGGTGGGGTAGGTCGCGTTGAGGCGCCTTGGAAAAAGACCGCCTAAGCGACGGTCGCCGTTTTTGTTGCGTCTTGGTGTTTGTTGCTTATGTTGTGCAGGTGGTTTTTGTTTCTATTTTTCGATTTCTTGTTTCTTGGTGTTGCTCCTCCCAAGGCTTGAGGAGCGAGTTCAAGCAGAATGCGCGCCTGGGTGATCAGAAAGAGTTTCTTTCAACATAGACACCGCGCAACGGAACCTGCAAGGAAGTGAGAAAGGCCGCCAGCAAGGATGTCCGAGTGAAAGCTGTCAGAAAGACAGGTTGCCAATTTGGACTCTTCATAGCTCCTTTCAGAAAGTTCAGGCAACAACCATAGGGCAGGGGCTTTGACGGTTGCGTGGCTACTATTGTTTCCATAGTTCCCCAAGAAGTCCAACAAATGTCATAACTTACCCGTCATGGCAACAGCGCCTTTTGAGCCTATTTTTTGAGGGGGGGTGCGGACCCCGAATAGGCATGCGGCGCAACGTGGATCCTAGTTGGCAGTTGCAAAGTCTTTCCCTCAGATTAACATAGCCTAAAAAGGGCCCCCAAATTCCCTTGAACATAGTTGCTTGTTGGCTTCGATGTGAATCTAAAGAAGTGCATCCAAACCACATAAGGATGGCTCCAACAGCAACCTCTGAAGCCTAGCCCAGAGCCGCTCCGAACCAGTTCAGAGCCTGGGCAAAGACCAAGGCTTTCAGCTGTTGAACAGGCTGATCTGTGCACAAGCAGAAGGCCAACTTGGGTTGGTGGTGGAAAGCATTCAACTACTTTCTCTTCCTCCAGCAGACCATTTTGTGAATTTTTGTCTGTCCCCGTTCTAAAGTAGGCAAACAGATTTGCAAAGAAGTTGGAAACTGGGCTTCCATTCGGGTAGATTGAACAGTGTGGGCTGTAGAGAAAGAGAGAGAGAGAGAGAGGGCGAGAGCAAGCGAGAGAGAGCGAGGGCGAGAGCAAGCGAGAGAGAGCTTTCACGTGTCCCGCCTGAGGGGCACGTAGTAGCTCAGGACGCCAGACAGGGACGACTCCTTTTGCATCTCCCGCAGGGCACCGTTCATGATCATAGCAGAGATGTGGCCTCTACAGAAAAGCTTCAGGAACAACCCAGCGAACCATGTGGGTGTGAATTTTACTGGGCCTCAGACACTTTGGTGAACATGATTTAGGTGAGGATTCATGTCCACCACTTTTGAGGTTCCCTACCTGGATTCATGGCCATGTTGGGTTGGTACCCCCATAGGAGACGACCAACTCATTTGTTGTTGGGCTGTCGAGGCCGGGACCCCAACAACAGTTTACAACACACACGGAAAGCTTGAGTAGGCATTTCTTTTTTGTTATTCTTTGTGGGGGTGGGGGTGGGGGGTAATTGGAAGGGGGGCCGTTGGCATTCGCTCTGTGGATCTTTGCCATGTATCAGAGTCAAGTCTGTGCCCTTCCACTCTTGCTGGCCCCCGTGCGCTGTTTGGCTCAAGCGTCGTTGCGACGTTAGCGTTTGCCAAGCCAGGTATCATTGGCTATGCCTTTAGCAATCAATATGGCCATGGGTCAACATCCCGTACCAGTGAATACATCCCAATCCCCACTAAAATAGATTAAATGGGTGGTGAATTCACCTACCCCAAAATGGGATCCCATTAGTTTTGGCCCGCATGTCTCTGGCCCTTTGGTGTCTGCTGACCCTTCAGCATTTACTTCTTCCGCAGCGTTGCCGTACGCACCCCCCCCCCCCGCAAAGCTTGGAGCTTCACACTCTGGCGAGTCGCTGGTCTTGTCGGGGTTGGCAGCAACTGTGAGCGTGATGCTCTTCCTGAGATATGGGCCATCCGGCCGACGTCGCGCACCCCAGTTCATTGGTTCCATCATTTCATAGGTGACGGACCCCGAAGTGACACCTACAAGGCCTGGAGAACAAGATGTTGAAACACTCCTGCAAACATGCCTGACACCAGCCTCTTTTGAGCCTTCAGGAAGAAACATTAAACCAAGAGGTCGGACACATGCCCACCCCCCCGCGGGTCTTGCATGGAAAATGTGTCGCGTCCCTTCGTGCCTGTATCGTCGGTATATCCATGTCCTTTGGGAACCCAACATGTCCCTTGAAATGGCTTCTGGAAAATCTACCAAACGAGGCAGTCATGAGACAATCCATTCAGGCATTCAACCTGAAGCCAACAGCGTTCATACATTCCGAATGAGGCAGTTCTGCCTGCAGTTCTCGGCTCCTTCCGTTTCGCTGGCCGGTTGGACACCTCCAAGCTCATGTTTTTTGGCTCGCAAGGCGCCTCTTTTTGCTTATTGTGGGGGTGGACAAACTTAGACATACCTGATGAGACCCAGCCCCTCATTGTGGTAAAATGACCTCATCTGCTCATGACAAACTGCGGGCCATCCATCTCCTATAGCTTGGCTCATTCCTGAAAGATCCACACATCAACTAATCCCAACAAACAGGGAAGTATTCCAGCCAACGCTTCGAATCCAACTATTGCAACAACATCATCAAACTGACATGCCATTCTTGAAACCTGTTCTCCGGCTCTTGCCCCCACCAAGTCGTTTCCGCTTTCCTTTTCCGGAGCACTGACCCTCGCTCACCATGAAGGTGTAGTCCCTCACCTTCGAACTTCGGGGAGCTGGGACGAAACCATCCGGGTATCATTTTTCGAGGGCTCCCTTTCTTTGGAGTGTGCCTAACAAATAACTCAAGTGAGGCAAAGCCACCATGTTACAGGGTCCCCAAACGGGAGACAAATCCGTTCACCTCGGTTCACCAGACCTGCCACCTGTTTCGAGGCTGAAATCTCATTACACCGAGGTTCCGCTGTTCTCCTTTTGACGGATGGTCCATGGTCCAGTTGTTTAAACCGGACAAAAAAAAAGTCGCCCCGCGCCTCCGGGGTGAAGGCAGGGAACAGGCCTGGCACGTCCGCAGCCAGGGAGGTGAGCTCGGGCACCTGGAGCCAAAACTGCCTGAGGCCGACACGGCCGTGCCTTTTTTCCGATGTGTGGGGGTCATGTTTGTTTGGCCGGATGGCCGTGAAAACCAATTGCGGAAAAAGTGGTCCGAGGGTCAACCAAGACACGCAAACAGGAAATCAGGCTTTCTTCCGGAGGTTGGAGGCAGACAAATCATTTGGTTGGCACACCTCCATCTCCCGGCCCAGTCCCTTCCTCGATCTGCTGGTCCGTGTAGCATGCGATGTTCGCGAGGGCCAAACAGAGCGTGAGGAAGCCCAACAAAGGCATAGAGGTGACCAGGAAGGGCTTCGGAGACACCAGCCTTCACCAAAATACGATGTCTGTCCGATGTATTGCCGATGTATCTCTAAATTGTAAACATCACAGCAAAAATAAACTCGCTGCAAATAGATTCGAACGGTGCTCAAGCCGAAGCAAAGAGAAAACATAAAATATACTGGAAGCCCATGACCGCAGGACGTTGGTTTGGAACTCCGAGCTCGCATATCCGAAACCCCGCAAGACCCAATGGCAATCGGCCACCAGAGCTGCATTTTGTTGAGTGCATGTTGGACTGGCCGTTTTGCTAACCACAACTTTGGGTCCTTGTGTGGCTTGAATGCTCATTCAACCTAGCAAGAGCGTGAACCTGTGGCCCACTCTCCCAGGTTTGGGTGGGCCCACGTTTTCAGAACCTCCATATAAAACACACAACTAAGCATTCAGTTTGTTTGCCTCTGAGATCAATATCAACCCATCACATCAATAACTGTTTATAATGTAGAAGTGTGTGCACTGTTTGTTACATATGTACCGGCAGTGCCTTTTTTTGGAGGGCATGTAACGCGCGACTCGGCACCAACCGTGGAACGTGCTCGATCGACATTTCGGCTGTCCAACGCCACCGGAACACCGCTACACCATCAGATACCACTGGGACATGGCAAACTGCCACTCACAAATAGAATGGGATTGTCGGCCGCTCGAACGACAACTTTTAGTTCAGGTGCGCACAGCTGTCAGAGAAAAGGAGTACAGAAGGAGTACCCTTCCTCCAACTAACACGGCACCTGCGGGGAGGTACCTGGAAGATGAGTTTCTTTTCTCCGGAGTTCTTGTTGGGGTTTCCGGCGCCTCGGGATCCACACCATGTCCGAGAGCTGCAAAGTCCGCGCGTGCTCTGCAGGAACCAACGCTTTGGCCGCCTCGATGTCTGAGGCCAATGACTTCTTGGACCGGGGCTCCTGCTGCTTCTTGCGATTCTGGCTTGTGAATTTCATCAGGGGACCTTTGGTGGACATCATTTGGCTGTGGGTCAAAACCGTTGGGATCCCATTTTGGTGTAGGTGAATTCGCCACCCATTTTAGTCTTTAGTGGGGATTGGAATGTTCACTGGGGGTACGGGGTTTTGACCCATAGCCATTTAGTGGAGATTCAAGTGCAGGAACCGCTTTGGAGCTGGTGCCCGAATTGACATTCAAGGCCACTTCGGACTGCCCGCTACTAAGCTTCAATTTAATTTGAGTTGGGCTCTGGGGACTGTTAGGGGGTCTTCAACAGAAAGGGCGCACCGGGCAAACAACAACGATGCTACCTTTGGGGGCCCATCAGGGTTGGGACAAAAGAAAACGCAAGGGTCAAAATTTGAACCAGAAGGCTGCCTTGTGATATTGATAAGAGTGACTTTTTTTGAGGGTGCATTTGCTGTGGTTGTAACGGGACTCCAAGAGGAAAACCACCAATTTTGGGTGCCCAAATAAGTCGGCAAAGAGTTCAAGAAACAAAACGCACTTTTTGAGCCGACGTGACCGCTAAACTATAATGGTGAGGATGTCAAGACTATGTTGCCAGCCTGAAACATCACTTCGCACGAAGTGACTGTCAAAATTGCTGAAATGGTACCAAGTGGGGCACGAACGCCGGATTCCCTTGGTTTTAAGGATGAATCAAGAGGTTCCATTGTTTTACACACACACATGTCAAGACTTCCTAAGGGAAGCAAAAAGGACACCGTTGCCATGGGAGGGTGAAAGTTCCACCCCTAGAAGGACTGCCCGTAAGAGTCATTGGAACCACTTGGCAACTTCTTTGTTTGATACCCTCTTTGCTGGATGCCTCCTTGTGGCTGGGCAGGTTAGACTTGTCAAGGTGCGGCAAGAAAGCGAACTAGGAACAGCAATCTCCACGAATCTGCTTAGAACCGTGCCTGCTGCCTGCACTTCCACTCCCGCGCTTCCCTTCATTGGCATCATCTGAAGGCAACACAAAACTTTTCAAGATGCGCATTGGTGATAAAATACGGCTGCCAGAGTGACCAAAGTGCCACACAACCCCGTGGATTCGGGAAGCGACAGTCACCAAAGGTGCTCCAACCCTCTACATTATCTTTCAGTCTCTTATCACTACTTAAATTCAATCCACTAAATGATGAAACTTCTGTATCATCTAATTGTAAATATTTAGTGCCATTAATAAAACTATCAATGGTGTTAGTTGCTTCCAGTCTTAATACAGCATCACTAGTTGAATGTCTCAAACTGATTTTATGAGCACTTCCAATAGTCATATCACCGTCAATAGTCCAGTGGCCTCGTAATTCACTATTATTACTACAATTATTTAAGACTACTGTATTATCAGCATAAGTTGTAGGTACTCCCACAACCAAATTAAAAGAATTTGAAACGTTGCTATTCCTGACTATTTAATCTTTTGTATCAAGACACATTTCGGCATTATCAAGAATAAGTTTTGATGTGTCGCTAAATTGAACGTTGCCACTTGGCAAGTTTTATGATAATAAAGTATTTCCTGAAACTGACTGAACTTGATTGACTTCAACCTTTTTACCAGAAACCATTGTCAAATCGCCGTTTGTATCTACATCACCTAATACATCAACTGGTCTATTGAAAATGGCTTTGGATACGGCACCGTCGCACATAAAATATTGGTTAGAATAATTACTAACATCACCAACATTAACAGCAACAAAATTATTATGAGCCATATAAAACCCTTGAGCCAATATTTTTAAAAATCAAAAATGAACCATTATTAAGGGATACTGCCTTGTCAGTGCCTATAAATTGGACGGCGTCAGTAAATCTTGCTTGACCTGCGCAAGTTAAAACATAACCAGCAACACCAAGAGCACCTAAACCGATCCTATCCTTAACCCACACACGACCAACATTCGCATTTCGTATTTGAGTTTCCCATTGACTTCCTGAACGACCCATCCACAGTCTACTCTTTTTTTTTAATATTGAATTTTCTGCTAAACATAACGAACTGAATATGTCATCCATTAGGCGGCGCTCTACATTTATTACAAAATACCGTGTTGCCAGTAACCATTGCAATAGTACCTTGAAAAGTTGAAGCACTACTACAATTAACAGCACCTGCTACCGATTGTAGGTTAGTATCTATTTTGTCTAACTTTGGTAAATCCATTGATGTTAAACTATTGATAGTACTTGAATTTGAATTATTAATAAATCTTGTGTAGTGTTGTCTGAGATGATTGAGGCAAATGTATTGCTGTATGCGGTGTTTGTCTTGAATAAGTTAGTATCATTTGTATATGATGTTGACCATCTGCTTGAATAGTTGTGTTTCCTGTTGTGGTCCAAGAAGCACCCCCGCCTGCTTGAAAAAATTCTATATCTGTTAAACTTGTTGACATTGTGTTTCCCTGCCCTGCTATCTTATTTTTTGTCAATTAATGATATATGCTATGCGATGTTATTGTGGTTCTGCCTACTGTATTATTTAATATTACTATTCCGTTTGTGTTTGTTGCTATGTTGCTGTCGTGTGTTGTTAATACTGCTAAATGTGATGCTAATGTATTATTATGTCCTGTGATTAAAGAAGAATTGGAACTAATACTGTTGTTAAAACCACTAATTGAAAAGTATTAGAACTAATATTATTTAGCATTTGTATCAAGTTTAATTGTGTTTGCTGATACAGTCGGTATTATTGAAGTTATTGTTTGACCGTACGCCGTTATATTATCAAGGTTGCTTCTACTTGGTCATTAAACATTGTTGTTGGTGTTGCGTTAATTCCTCTTAACTGTCTGTGCTAAAATAAAAGCATCAACTTCTTCAACTGTATAACCGCCACCAAATGAACCTGCTGTGTCTGCATTCATACTAATTCGCTTGCTACAGTTCTGCTTGAGCCATCCACTGACAATCCTAAAAACATAATTGTTATGTGCTAGGGATGAAACAATGATATTTTAATCTTTTCTTGCCCCTTGAACCAAATATACCTTTATTTAATGCATTTTATTTTTCTTGCTTCTGTCTCAAATATTCATTTTGCAATATTTGGTAACACTGTGTTACATTCTGTAGCGGCGGTGTGTTTGCTATTCTACTATTTTGTTGCGGTGGTGATGCTTGTAGCATCGCTTCGCGTGATTGCATCGCTTCTCGTGGTTGTTGTGGAATTTCTTCGTGATACTCTACTCTTTCAGGCTTCGCCATTGGAACTGCTTTTGGTCGTGACTTGACTACCTTTTGTTGTAATAAACCTTGACAAGTCTTTTTCGTGTTTATACCTTAACTTTTCAAGAACACATTTTTACCGCATTTTCACAGGTTATCTACGTGTCCTTCATTTGTTCTATTTTTGATTTGCTTTTCAATGGCGGTGCTGGCGCTGGTTTGGTTTGTGGTGGCGGTTGTTCAGGTAAAGGTTGTGTTTCTTCTTCAATAGGTGGTAATTCATTTACTGGCTCATCTGCTTCAATCGTATTATTAATTTCAGGTTCAACTTCTGACATAACATAAATATTTATATATATATATATATGTTGTTCTATAATTATCTATCTATTTTCCACAGTATGATTTTAGGAGACATATTAGCATATGTTTTAAATAATAATATTGAACATGGCACTTATTCAATTATCTAACTGAAATAAAAGTGAAAATTGCACGGGTACCCCGTGAAAATCAATAACTTTGTTTCTTGAAGTTGTAATTTACAAGTGTTAATATTTTTACCGCCTACATCAATAAAATATGCATATATGGGCGAGGTGTGGTCACTATTCACTCCGCTGAGTCGTTGATTAAGTTGAACCTTTTAAATCACCCAATTACTAAAATTATTAGGTGCTGAATATTTGTAATCGCTTAGTTGAGGTGAGTTAAGATATACATGTCGAAAAGGAACTAAATTAAAGTATCCACTTAACCAAGATGTTGCAGGTTCGTAGGCAATATAAATGCTGAATAAATAATTAGAGCGCGGCCCGCCATGGGGTGTGTGTTGTTGAAATCAGCATGTTTTACACCTTGGCGTGTGTGGATGCACCTTTCTTGCATATGCGGTCTTTGGTGATTTTTGGAGAAGGCCACCCACTGCAGGCATCTTTCCACTCCCTGCTTTCTGGCAATCAGTGTTCTCCAAGGGTTTTCTTGCTATTCCCTTTGTATCCCCCTAAAAGATCCTCAAACTCCCCCAGTATTCCCCTAATTAGCACCCTCCTAGTAATTCTGTCCCTAGCATTACCCCAGTGTGCCTTTGTTATTTTCTTAGTATACCCTTAATCTGGGGTGCATTTAAGAATGTCAAATAATATTGTGTGTTTTTTGTGTGTGTGTTCTCAATGTTTGTTTGTCGCTGGCATTTTCGAGAAACAACGGTAATTGGCTCGGCAAGGCTTGTCACGGCTTGTCACTGAACAACTTCATTGCAAGGTTTACCCTTTACCTTTTATGGATGTAAACTTGGTTCAACCCTAAATAACTTAGCAATGTCAAACCCATGAAACACGTGTAAGTTTGGGGAAACCCTACGTTGCTTGATCCCTCGTTGCCAACGGTGGGTTTACCCTAGCGACCGACATGCGATAGTGACTCTGTTACTGTACGAGGCCCTGGGGCTTTCATGATTGTCTCGACCACGCGATGAGGCCACTTGACGCTGTCGTTCAACGTCAGCCCAACAAGCTGAGCGCCAGCAAGCCTTCGTTTTTGGGGCACCGGTTTGTTCGGCCCGTTCGTGGCGCGATCTTCAGGGGCTACTGACAAGTAGTACTTACTTGGGAGGTTATATAATATAACTTGCCCTGGGTGTCTTGTTGCAGGTGAAACGTAACTTTGGCTTTTTGATGACCACGCGCTAGGATGAAGAGGCTGAGTTGGACTGAGACTGGGTCTCTGTGTGTCTCTGTGTGTGCAAGACTACGAGAGACCGTGTAGTAAGTACTCC